GATTCAATCGAAATTCCCTCAAATGTAGCTGAAAGTGTTGGGATAGTGGTAAGGGAAAAAAAGCTATTAAAAAATACAAGCCACTAGAGCAGTAGTATTGCCAGTGTCCTGATTTTAAGCAATGAATCTCTTTGTATAAAATGACAAGTGGAACAAAAACGGTAATGCTCTCTAGACCAGAGGTTCTCAAACAGTGGTCCGCGAGCTCCGTTCAGGTGGTCCCCGGATAGTTCTCTCTAAGGTGCGCACCTGGGTGGCCGCACACAAGAGAATGAAGGGCCACCCACCTAATTAGTGGAGCTTCGCCTGCATGGCTCCACTAATTAGGTGCCTGCACCCTGGAGAAGACGCACATGTACGGTGAGGTGGTGGCCTTGCGGGGAATAGGGGGTAGGTGGGAGGGGGCAGTGGGGTGAGAAGCGGGGGTGGGGGGGAATTTGGGACATGCAGGACTGCGGCGGTCAGAGAAAAAGAGGTGACTTTCCCCAGCTCCAGGGCTGCAGTTGCCAGGGAGAGACCCCCCTGTCCTTCCCAGCCCCAGCTCGGGGGCTGCCGTGGCGAGGGAGAGAGGGCACATCCATTGCATTAGAAAGGTAAGACAACGGATATTAAAATCTGAGTTGTGTGCTTTTATTTGTAGAACCAAAAAATGTTAATAAGCCTTTTTTTTAATATAGTGCTTTTATCCAAAGTGCTTTACAATAGTTAGCCCACGGTACAAAGAACAACATCTGGAAAGATCATTAAGTGGTCCGCCGAGACCCTCAGCAATTTTCAAGTGGTCCGTGAAAAAAATAAAATAGAATAAAATAAAATAAATAGATAGAGAACCACTGTTCTAAACTATGTAAGTTTGTTTCGTTGGTTGTGTTAAGGACTTTTTTTTTAAAAAGTGTTTAAATTACTGAATTAGAGCTTTTTAATCAATTTAAAAAGTGACTATTATGAAAAATAAGAGCAATCTGTCATCTCAAAGCCTCCGATCAATGATGGTATGAAATATGAATAGATAAATCATATTTGTTTATACCAGATCACCACATCACTGTAAAGGAGTCAACACCTTACCTACTGTTAACACAAAATAACATACTAAGTTAGATTCTGTCTAACTCCCCTTTAGGAGTCACTAAATCTTCTGGTCAGAGGGCATTAGCCTTTTCTGATCTCTCACAATGCAGTTCCAGCTCTGAAGTGACAGCTTTAATTTCTATCCCACAATGCCCTATAAACTGATAAAGATCCTATTTAATGATAGTAAAGAACAAGGGGCAGGGCTGGGAAGTCCAAACTAATCATCCCTAATTTAAAATTGGCAGACTGAGCAATGAGTTCTAATAAGGTAATCCCAGTATGATTCTTCTTCTATCCTTTTCCAGTAAACATACGAGTTAGGTCTACTGAACAGCAGATTAAGTACTGATTATAAAGACTGGGTTTATGCTATATCAGTAGGTGCTGCCACAGAGTCATGCCTGTTGTAAATCCTAGCCAATAGGTCACATGGCTCAGAAACCAACCAAAGGAGGTGCTGGCTGCCCTTCCCCAGCTGCTCTCACTCGTACCCATCAACATTTTGGCTCTTCACTGTTCACTTAGTAGCCAGCAAAATGAGAGGAACAATATCAACCTCTGTCAGGTATTGCTCCAGTGTCATGCTCAGTTCAGGTAGAATTAAGAACATGGTTGTAAGCAGCTTTTGTTGATTAGATGAAAGAACTTTTCTTCAGCCTACAGTACCTTTCAGCATACATTAATCAGAGCCCCATGAGTTCAGATTATTCCAACTGGATGATTTCATAAAGTTTGTTTTCCAATGCCACTTTGATAGTCTATGAAGGTTATAGGATAGTCTCTGCAGCATGTTACACTTTCCACTGACACTACGATATTTCCATATTAACTGAAAAAATGTCATTACCAAGACGCAAACTGGAGAAACAGCATGGAGAAGGGAGGAAGACAAATGGATACACTTAATAAAACTCTCCACGGATATATTTGTGTGCACATGCACATTCCTGTTAAGCAGATTACAAACTGGGTAAAGTGTTCATAATGCAATATGTTCAGAATGTAAATTGTTCATAATGCAACAAGTTTTTTTTCTAGGGGGGGGGCAAAGTTTATAAAAGACTTTCATATGGACACTACTGCCTCTCAGTAATAGAAAGACATATTCTTACATAAAGAAAGGAGAGAGATTGTACTATTTTTAACTGAACATTGAATCGTCACTCAGAAAAACATTCTGCAGTCCATATATACATGTTAACCTTAGACTGTAGTACAATTGTCATTGGCAACATAATTAAACAAAACTTCATTATGATGGGTGGAACATCAATTGCTAGTCACTGGAAGATAAATCTGTTTACCCTTTTTCCAAAGCAGAAATATAACTTAAAATAAATAAATAAATAAAACCAAAAGCCACAGAGCTCTGACTTGCTACAGCTCCCACTGCATTTTAAAATAAATTGATGACAGGCCTGTATGGAAGATATACAGTGAAAGTAATGCACTAACTTTGTCCTTTATGCTTAGCAACTTTAAGGTTTCCCCTGACAGCGAACCATAGTACACAGCAAAAGCCTGATCATAAGTCCATTGAACTTAATGAGCTTTTGATCAGGCCTCTAGTCTTTTGAGTAATTGTTATATTTGGTATGTCCCCAACTAGCAACAGGTTTTCCAAGATATTTGTAGCAATGTTGGCAACAGCATTAAAAAAAGTGACTAAGCTTGCACAGGAAAAAAAAAAAAAAAATCGAGCTATTTCTGCCTATATTTGGATGAAAATCTAAAATCAGGCCTCTTAATAAAATCCTATATAGTGCTTCCTGTGAGCTGTTACAGAAGAACACGTATATTAGTGTTGACTAGACAGAAACAGAGATAAAAGGCCACAGGACTCTTCCTGTTAATAGACACACACAGTACCTATCCTAGAAGATAACGAAGTTGCAACTATCTTGTTTTAACTGCTAATTCTAAAAGTTACATTTGGGAGCATAATAAAATACCTCCCTTTTAAGTTACTCAAGGGTTAGTATTTTTCTACCAACATATGAAGGTTTTTAGAACATAATACAAAATGCATTTGATTTAAATAACTTCTTATGCTCTCTTACTAGTCTAAAAATCAAGTTATAATTGTCCTGACACAATGGAGGCCTGATTTTCAGGTCCCGAGCATCTGCAGTTCCCACAAGTTTAAATGCTCGGCACCTTTGAAAAAGCAAGGCCCTTGGCATTCTTGTCCTAGAAGTGACCTATTCATTAAGTGACTTATTCAATTAATTTTAAGTATGCATATTAATTTCAATATCTTTACAGAGAACAAAATATAATTTTTATCAATCTGTTGACCTCTGCCTTCCATCTCCAATCAAAGTCCATTACTAAACCCCTTTTCAGCTATAAATTCTGCTGGAACCAGTAAATTCTTTGGTTCTGTCTGACACACACACACACACACACACCCCCTTCGTAAAGCATAGAAATGATTCTATTTCTCCTCTTTTGGAATGATTACTTTTGAATAGCAAATGAATCTTAAAAAACTCCAAAACATTTAAGTCACTACAAAGTAAACCTAGCCTCAGACACTTGTCAGTCCACAGGCTATAAATTAGCTCTTTTATAAAGGGACACACATGTCTACCTTTAAGGCAACCTTGCAAAATTACAAAGATTTACCAATTCAGGTGCAAAGTCTGCTCACCCATGTTAACCATAAATGAATTTTGTTCATTATATTTTTGCTCACCAAAACAGTTACTTGCCCTTGGGGAGTAGAGCTTTGTGTAGTTGGATTATGGTACAGTAATATTTTAAATACTAGTTTTAAAAGTTTTAAATTAAAAAGTCTAAATAAATCAATACAAGTTTAAATTAAGAATTGGAGGATAGGACTTCGGATTCATGATTCTGTTAGAATTACAAATTGTGTCACTCACTTGAACACATCCTGTCTCCCCCCCTCAACAACACTTGATTTTTAAATTAGATGGTTATCTGCATGGGCCATCCCTAGAGGGATGCAGGGCCTGGGACAACATCCCTCCTCCGCCCCAGGCCCCACTCCCATCCCTCCCCCTAACCCCCCACCCCACCTCGCCTCTTCCTGCCCCTGCTCCGCCCCCTTCCGGCTACTGTCCCCTCCCCCAAACGATACCGGGAGCCAGAGCAGGGCGGGGCTGGGGTCCCTCCTGCTGCTCGGTGAGTGCTGGCCCCGGCCTGACCCCTGCTGCCGGCACCAGGGCCCCCGCTAACTCCCTGGGCCAGTCTGGCCCCCTGCACCCTAACCCCACCTAGCGCCTCCCGCATGATATGCACACAGTTATGTGGTTATATGACTTCTTCATGCTGCTATGCCCTATCAAAAAGATTTGAAATTGGCATGGATATCTCAAAATTACAAGGTCCTAATTTCTATAATCCTTCTCAAAATAGAAGGAAATAGAGAAACAAGGCAGGCGAGGTAATAGATTTTCTTGGACCAACTTCTGTCAGTGAGACACCCAAGCTTCTGAGCAACAGAGCTCTTCTTCAGGTCTGCGAAATATACTCGGGGTGTTACAGCTAAATATAAGGTGGAACAGATTGTTCAGCATAAATAGTTAATACATATTTCAAGATGAAGGGGCCCATTAACACCCCTCCAGTCATAGGGGGAAAGGAGGTAGGGGGAAGACAGCTGGCAGGAAAAAAGGGGGGGGGGAGAGAAGGTTATAGACTGTTATAAACCACTGTCTCTGTTCAGTCTGTTCTTTTTAGTGTCTAATAGTTATAATTTAAGCTCCCAGGCTCATCTTTTGAAGGGGTTGTGCAGATTTCCTTTGCAGATGAGGACTGAGACCAGATATAGAGTGATCGCTTTGTGAAAAGTGTTAGAAGGAAACAGTCACCTAAAAAAGGTAAGTTACTAATCTAAAGTAAAACATAAAATGTACATTGAATACCACAAGATACAAAACATGAAATATAACACTCACTGGTTTGGGCATTTTCAGCTCTTGTGGTGGTTCTGTTGTTCCAAAAACAAATGCTCATGCAGAGACTTGAAGGTGTTTGTTCTTTTTCCAAGAGATCTGATAATAGGAGAGTAGAAAGAGTTCTAGTTTACTGAGAAGGGGGCAAAGTAAAGAACTTTAAAACCTCTGCTTTGATTCTTAAGTAATCAGGGGGAGTAGCAAGGATGATTCATACATGACCAACAATTACCAAGGCACTCCACTGGTTTAAAAAAAAAAAAAAAACCGACACCACTCACAAGTGACCTCGCCCAGTGGGGGAAAAATACCCAGCTGCAACCAGAGAAGGTCATTTGGCCAGACACACCCATAAGACTAAATACAATTTCAACACCTTTCCTGACTCCTGCGCGGCATAAACTTAATAACCTGGGAAAGAAGGAGGAGGGGACAGAAACTGGAAACTATTATCAGCGCTCGGTTTGCAATACAGCCCGCCCGGGCTGCTGCCAGCAAGCAGGTCGGAAGCATTCAATACAATTAAGATCCTGCCTTGCAAAGCAGGTACTTTAGAGTCCTTCCGAGGAGCCGCTAAAGGGTCCTGCCCAGAGAGCCCCGGAGAGTTCAGGGCAGCACCTGGCTCCCTTTGCCCTTAAACAACCACCAGGGAAAGAGAGGAGCCCAACAGCTCTTGGGGTCAAGCCGAAGGCGGACTCTAGCCTACAGTCTGCAGACACCCAGAGGCGGCGGGGCTCGCTTGCCTGCTCCCCCTCTGTCGCGCGGCGCTGCGCGCAGCACCTGGCCCCGGGAGCCCCGCGCCCTAGAGAAGCGGGAAGACGGCGGCGGCAGGAGGAGGGAGCTCCCGGCGCGCTAATCCCCGCAACACCTGTTGGCAGCGCCGCCCCGTCCTCCCGCGGCCGAACACAGAAGAGGGGGGAAGCTGAGTGGCTACTCGGGCTCCGGCTGGGAAAGGGACTTACCCGGCTGTCCTCTGCGGCGACTGGGCACACTAGCAGGCGGCCGTGGGGTGCGCTCGGGTCCCTGTGCGCGCCTCTGGCCCCGCCCCGCCGCTCCCACTGCAATATGGCCGAGCGGGGGCCCGCCTCCTCGCCGGGGCTGCGCCCCAGCCTCCCTCTCGCCACCTGCCTCTGCGGGACCTCAATAGGGGCTGAGAGCGGCGCGCGCAGAGTCCTCTCCCGTGTGGACAGCTTGAGTCCGGCTCAGAGCGTCCCCGAGCGGGCTTAATGCGGGGCTGCCTCCCTGCGCACGCATTGCAACCCCTCCGGCAGGGCTGCTCCCACCTGCAGCACTCTCGGCGTCCCTCCCGGCCAGTCAGCGTGGCGCTCTTCTCCCAGGACTGAGGGTGGGAAATTACCGCGGGGCATTTTAGGGTGCAGCGATGAACGAGCATTAGCTCCGGGTTTAGGGAGAGAGGCAAACAACAGGAAGGAGCGTCCAGTAACAAATAACACACGTACCTGGGGAACTTACCCAGACTTGGGTTTGTTTGGTTTTAGCGCTGTTGGGGTTTGGACAAACATTCTTCTCCCCACTAGCCCCTTCACCCCCTGCATTGTACTCCCCACATATAATTTGAGGAAGTACTTTCATTGCAACTAGCACTTTGGCATGTGCTCATAATTTTCTCCATTTTCTTCCGTATTGTAGAACTGGAAGGGACCTCGAGAGGTCATCTAGTCCTGTCCCCTGCACTCAAAGCAGGACTAAGTTTTATCTAGAAGACCATTCCTGACAGGTGTTTGTCCAACCTGCTCTTAAAAATCCCTAGTGATGGAGCTTCCATAATGTTCAGAGGCAATTTAGTCCAGTTAGGAAGTTTTTCCTAATGTCCAACCTAAACTGACCTTGCTGCAATTTAAGCCCATTGCTTCTTGTCCTATCTTCAGAGGTTAAGAAGAACAATTTTGCTCCCTCCTCCTTGTAACAACCTTTTATGTACTTGAAAACTGTTACCATGTCCCCTCTCAGTCTTCTCTTTTCCAGACTAAACAAACCCAGCTTTTTCAATCTTCCCTCATAGATCATGTTTTCTAGACCTTTAATCACTTTTGTTGCTCTTCTCTGACTTTCTCCAATTTGTCCACATCTTTCCTGAAATGTGGTGCCCAGAACTGGACACAATACTCCAGTTGAGGCCTAATCAGCGCAGAGTAGAGAGGAAGAATTACTTCTCATGTCTTGCTTACAATACTCCTGGTAATACATACCAGAATGATGTTTGCTTTTTTTTGCAACAGTGTTACACTGTTGACTCATATTTAGCTTGTGATCCACTCTGACCTCCAGATCCCTTTCCGCAGTACTCCTTCCTAGGCAGTCATATCCCATTTTGTATGTGAGCAACTGATTGTTCCTTCCTAAGTGGAGTACTTTGCATTTATCCTTATTGAATTTCATCCAGATCATTTTTCCAGTTTGTCCAGATCATTTTGAATTTTAATCCTATCCTCCAAAGCACCTGCAACCCCACCCAGCTTGGTATCATCTGCAAACTTTATAAGTGTACTCTCTGCCATTATCTAAATCATTGATGAAGATATTGAACAGAACCAGACCCAGAACCTGTGGGGCCCCACTCATTATGCCTTCTAGCATGACTGTGAAACACTGATAACTGCTCTCTGGGAACGATTTTCTAACCAGTTTTGCACCCACCTTATAGTAGCTCCATCTAGGTTGCATTTCCCTAGTTTGTTTATGAGAAGGTCATGTGAGACAGTATCAAAAGCCTTACTAAAATCAAGATACTACATCTACTGCTTCCCCCCATCCACAAGGCTTGTTACCCTGTCAAAGAAAGCTATCAGGTTGGTTTGACACAATTTGTTCTTGACAAATCCATGCTGACTGTTACTTATCACCTCATTATCTGCTAGGTGTTTGCAAATTGATTTCTTAATTATTTGCTCCATTATCTTTCTGGGTATAGAAGTTAAGCTGGCTGGTCTGTAATTCCCCAGGTTGTCCTTATTTCAATTTTATAGATGGGCACTATATTTGCACTTTTCCAGTCTTCTGGAATGTCTCCTGTCTTCCATAACTTTTCATAGATAATTGCTAATGGCTCAGATATCTCCTCAGTCAGCTCCTTGAGTATTCTAGGATGCATTTCATCAGGCCCTGGTGATTTGAAGACATCTAACTTGTCTATGTAATTTTTGACTTGTTCTTTCCCTATTTTGGACTCTGATCCTACCTCATTTTCACTGGCATTCACTATGTTAAACGTCCAATCGCCTTTTGTGCTGAAAAATTTCATGCTTATTCTCAGCACAGAGAGGAGGATTTTGTGGTTGTCTTTTTGGTAGTTTGCAAATTTTTATGGATGGGGCTGTTTTTGACTAATGTGAAACGAGATGTTTTTTGCACCTTAAGAAAACTTTCTGATACTTTTTATTTCTTTGGCTAGCTCATTTGTGTGTGTGTTTGTGTGATATGGTCAGTGATTGTACTGCTAAATTTTACAGTGCATGAGCCCTGCAGAAGTGATATTAAGTTGGTAATTCTGTCACACCTGAGAGTCTCCAGTCCAAAATCTATCTTGTGTGTGACGTCATAAGATAGAGCACCTATACTAACTTTTTTACCACTAATTTTTATCTAATTGATAGTCTGTGCAGCAGCAGTTATGAGACTTCGCACATTAGTAATAAATACATATATCACATCAACATAAACCACCTGTAACTTAGTATTTATGTGCCAGACTTTAAGTAGCAAGGCACATCTAAAGCACACATATAGTTAATCAAAAAGACCACTGGTGGGACATGTAAAATACTGGTTTTACAACATTAATATTCTCTGCAAATTTAAAATAAGGGCAAGATTCACTTGTATGCTCCAGCTGCTCTTTGGACATTTCATAAACCCAATTTAACTGGCTGATCAGACCAAGTTGGCAATGGGTCTCCACTAGACTCATCTTTTGTTTTTATTAAATGTTGCTAGGTCTCATGCGTACAGAGAAAAGCTTGAACACATGACCCAAGTGCATCCCAAAGGCTCAGAAACCAGAAGGCAAAATAAAATAACCCCCCTATTTTTTTATATCTCATGATTTTTTACACCAATCTATAAGTTTGGAGGTCTGTCTTTTGATTTTTCAATATGAAGGGTCAGTGATACTGTGCATCTGCCCCTCCCCCCTCTTCTCATATGTAAATATGCTTTTGTGGATAAAGCAGCAGGCAGTTCCTTGAAAGCGCCTGTGCTTCCATCCCAGCTTGCACAGTATCCCCTCCATAAGAACAGTGTATAGAGCTGCAGGCAACAGCCTGTAGGCCCATACTTCTTTCATTTATTCCTGTGATGGCACTCAACTGAGCTACAAGACAGAAGAGCCCCCACAGTCCAGCCGCTGCTGCCATCAGTGTGTGTGTGTGGGGTGTGTGTGTTGGGGGGTTCCCTCAGGTCAGCTTCGCGTGGAGTGTCCTGTTTTCCAGTTGGACAGAAAAGTATAGGTGAAACTTGACAGAAAAAAAAGACAGCACAATGGTACAGGGCATGGGCATAAAGGGGTGCCTCCCTCATCACCAAGCCTCCACCAGGCAATGGTTGAAGTCCCTACACCAAAGAAAAGGAATCATCACCAATTCAAGAATTGAAAAGGAAGGTGATAAACGACATAAGAGGGTGAAGTACGTGGAGTGAAACAAGAGGTTAACAGTATTTCACATTTATATGCCTTTCTTGCTCTTGATGAAGGATCCCCAAACACTTTACAATACACACATGCATCGCCACTGAAATGCTGAGAGTGGCCCCAACTGGCATACAGCAATGGAGGAGAGGAAACAGTTTAGTTACGCCATGAAAACTGGCTTTTATGAAAAGGGTCATGGGGCCAAATGTCCATGGAAACCAGATAGGGCCTTGGTTTTAAATCATCTGTGGGTGGGTGCTGGACAGACATTGTTTCAGTATCTTTTGTGGAATCTCCACTCTCTGGTTTCACAAAATGTTCAGGAATCACAAGAACAATTTCCACACGTGTCTAAGAATCAAGCATGTAAAGTGACATTCCCTGGACAAATTTCTGCCTGGATTTATGTCCTGTTCAGTGGGGTTGCATTGAGTGTGGCGCAGACCGGAATTAGGCCCCATTTTGGGTAGACTCTGGCAGAAGCTAGGAACAAACATTCCACATATGGCATATTTTAAAAACCCAATACCTGAAACTTTCACACAAAATTCTAAGTGAACATTTTTTGAGCTTCAAAAGCATTTTATTCTTTCCAATATTTTATATTTTCATGTACCCTTAGTGTGAAACTCTGGTTTCTGGCTGTGCTCAGGAGAAGAAATGCCAAACTCAGCCACTCTTTGTGTGGCATGTCTGGACACAATAGAAATAGGTATTTGTAGAAATTCCAGGAAAAGTCAGCATTTGAATGTGTTGGTTAAATATCCAAACCTAAACCTCTGAATCTTTTCAGGTCCACCCATCACTACCTGCCACCTACTCATTCCACAAAGGTAATGGCAGGAAAAGCCATGTTGTCCAGTCAATAGAGGCTTGGGAGTGCGGCTCAGGGAACCAAGAGTCAGAACATGAAACTGGGCTTTGTTGAGGTCCCACTCCTGCTCAGTAGGACTCTGTGGATATACAGGTCTGCCCTCACTGATCACTTTGCAGGATTGGGGCCTGTGTGACCTTGGGAAAGTCATTTAACATCTCTGCAGCTCAGTTTCTCTGTCTGTAAAAACAGAGTGATGATTAAGGATATGATTTAGTCATGGAGGTCACGGATTCCCTGACTTTACTGGTCCTCCATGACTGCTTCAGCTGTCAGTGGCTGCAGCCCTCACATCCTGAGGCTGCAGCTGTGGCCACGGCAATGGGGCTTGGGCTCTAGTTGTCATTCCCCCCCCCCCCCCCGCCACCAGTTATCAGCTGTCATTCCCTCCAGTTATTTTTAGTAAAAGTCACAGACAGGTCACAGGCATCAATTAATTTTTTTTTTATTGCCTGGGACCTGTTCATGACTTTTCCTAAAAATAACTGTGACAAAATCTTAACCTTAATCATGAGTAAGATGTTAAGATGGAGATTGAAGTACAGGGACACACCTAGGGAGATCCTCTGTTTGCTCTATGATAATGCAAACGTGTTGAAAGTGGATGGCCACTGCTAAAGAAATTGGGCCAAATTCAGGCATTGTATAAGCGGGGCAATGCCTCTGAACATAGTAGAGCTGTGCCCTTTTACACCAGGTCTGCATTTGGTCCCT